CGAAAAGCATACACCAAGGAATATCATCTTGAATATGTCATGTTAACTCATCCATTACCAACGCAAAAAGGTAAGGACTTAAGGATGAGCCTTCATGTAATCCTACAGTTATGGGAAAGCTTTCGGTTTGTCCTTTATGAGTTCTTACGGCAGTCTTTGCTCCTTCATACATATCCTTTATAGCTTGGATATATGCTACTCGTACTCCTTTCTTCTCTAAAATCCTCCAAATAATGTCTCTTGGGACCCTATCATACGCTTTTTCCAAATCTATAAAGACCATGTGTAAATCCTTTTTCCCATCTCTATATCTTTCCATCAATCTTCGTAAGAGATAGATTGCCTCCATGGTTGAGCGCCCTGGCATGAACCCGAATTGGTTGTCCGAAACCCGTGTCTCTTGCCTCAATCTATGCTCAATGACTCTCTCCCAGAGCTTCATTGTATGACTCATTAACTTAATACCCCTATAGTTCATGCAATTTTGTACGTCGCCCTTATTCTTGTAGATAGGCACCAAAGTGCTCGTTCGCCACTCATTTGGCATCTTCTTCGTTTTCAAAATCCTATTGAAAAGGTCAGTGAGCCATGTTATACCTGTCTCTCCCAAAAGTTTTCCACACTTCGATTGGTATATTGTCTGGGCCTATTGCTTTTTTATGCTTCATCTTCTTCAAAGCTACAACCACTTCTTCCTTTCGGATTCGACGATAAAAAGAGTAGTTTCTACACTCTTCTGAGTTACTCAACTCCCCTAAAGAAGCACTCATTTCATGTCCTTCATTGAAAAGATTATGAAAATAACCTCTCTCCATCTGTCTTTAATCGCGTTCTCTGTAGCAAGAACCTTTCCATCCTCATCCTTGATGCACCTCACTTGGTTTAGGTCCCTTGTCTTCTTTTCCCTTGCTCTAGATAGTTTATAGATATCCAACTCTCCTTCTTTGGTATCTACTCGTTTATACATATCGTCGTAAGCCGCTAACTTAGCTTCTCTGACAGCTTTCTTCGCCTCTTGCTTTCGTTTTTCTATACCTTTCACCATTTTCATCGGTCCTCTCCTTGTATAAGGCTTTACAACATTCCTTCTTAGCCTTCACCTTTGTTTGTACCTCCTCATTCCACCACCAAGATTCCTTTTGGTGTGGGGCAAAGCCCTTGGACTCTCCTAATACCTCTTTTGCTACTTTTTCGGATACAACTAGCCATGGAATCCCACATTTGGCTAGCTTCCCCCTCTCTATCCCACACACATTGGGTGATTACCTTCTCTTTGAAAATGACTTGTTTTTCTTCTTTTAGATTCCACCATCTAGTCCTTGGGCACTTCCAAGTCTTGTTCTTTTGTCTTACTCTTTTGATATGTACATCCATCACCAACAAGCGATGTTGATTAGCCACGCTCTCTCCTGGTATAACTTTGCAATCCTTACAAGTTATACGATCCCCTTTCCTCATTAGAAGAAAATCTATTTGTGTTTTTGACGACCCACTCTTGTAGGTGATCACATGTTCTTCTCTCTTCTTAAAGAAGGTGTTGGCTAAGAAGAGATCATATGCCATTGCAAAATCCAAGATAGCTTCCCCATCCTCGTTTCTCTCCCCAAAACCATGGCCACCATGAAAACCTCCATAGTTGCCTGTCTCCCTGCCCACGTGTCCATTTAAATCTCCTCCTATAAATAACTTCTCCGTCTGAGCAATTCCTTGCACCAAGTCTCCAAGATCTTCCCAAAATTTCTCCTTCGAACTCGTATCCAACCCTACTTGAGGTGCGTACGCACTAATCACATTGATAAGTTCTTGTCCTATTACAATCTTGATTGCCATGATTCTATCTCCTACCCTCTTGACATCTACAACATGTTGTACCAAGGTCTTGTTCACGATGATGCCAACACCGTTTCTCGTTCTATTTGTGCCCGAATACCAAAGTTTAAACCCTGAGTTTTCTAGATCCTTTGCCTTACTACCAACCCACTTAGTTTTCTTGTAGGCACATATAATATTTATCCTTCTCCTCACCATAACTTTCACTACTTCCATAGATTTTCCCGTTAAGGTTCCTATATTCCACGTTCCTAAACGCATTTTGCTCTCTTGAACTCTACCCTTCTGTCCTAGCTTCTTCATCCTCCCCCTAATAGGATCAAGGTACAACTTCTTTTTGTGTGTCCCGGGTAAAGTTGATAGGAGCATATGCTCCCAAACAACTTTGAGTGGAGTCGTTCGAAAAAGAAGTTTCTATGGCCCCTTGCTCATTTAACACTGCATCCGGGTGCCGATGGAGATGCCGATGAGCGACCTACAGCTTGACCCTCTCACTTATCACTGTGCTCGGGCCACACAGCGCGCCACTTACGGGTGACGCCCTAGCTTTAGCGCGATTTTGTTCTGGATTCATTTTCATAAGGATTCGACGTGATCATGGAGTGCCGGCTGTCGACTACCTGACGCCCTCCCCCTCCTCCTTTATCCGGGCTTGGGACCGGCCATGTAAGACATGGGCGGAGTTACTTTCAATCTATACATGTGTAAAATCTTTTCTTGTGCTTATATAAATTTTTTGTATTGTAACGCGCTTTCTGTGTCAAACGTCGCCGATATTTTTCTCCATGGGAATGAGTGGAAGGTCCTCCTCCTCCTCCTCGATGCGGTTTTTAATTGCAGCTTTTATTGTTTTTAGCTTATCCCCTCAAACGATTTGTAACGCCACCCAGCTAAAGTGTACCTCTTCCTGCGGCCATATCCGCAATATAAGCTACCCTTTTTGCGGCAACTCAGGATACACTCTGTCTTGTGAGAGCAACAAAACCATACTAAACATACCTTCATCTGGCGATTACTACGTACAGGCAATCAACTACCATAACCAAACAATCCGACTTGTCGATCCGGGCCTTGACAAGAGCAATTGCTCCTCCCTTCCTCTTCATTCTCTGTCTCTTCCTTATGAGTATTTCCAAATTCCGACGACACCTGGGAATTGTACAGCATCATCAACAGATTCATCAGCGATATGTACGGAAATTGGCACAACAAATTTAACATTTTTGAAGTGTCCGCGTCCAATGAATTCATCTCTTTACGTGGACGCTGCTCCATGTTTTCCTGTTGAATCTGCTTCTACTTCATCTTCGTCGATGTCGTCATCCCAACCAAAATCGTATGGCTATGTCAAGATTGGATCTTTAGAGGTAGGGCAGATGAAAGACGGTTGCAGCATAGAGCGAACGACTTATGCCTACTTGTTCGACGGCTACAACGCTTCTTATAAATCCATACACAATTCTCTGGTTTATGGATTTGAGCTTCAATATATCCGAGATGGTCCCTTTTCCTGCAGAAACCCATGGTGGAATTTCAAGTGGGATTTCGAGTGTTATCCGCACAGCGTTCGAGGTGAGTAGGGAATAAATCTCAATTTTCTTTTTTACTTCATTATCATCTTTTGTAGGAAATTCATTTCTATAAAATAAATAAAATTAAAATTAAAATTGCAGGGCCATGGTCATCCTTTGTAAAAAATTATTTTTAAATAAAAATGTCAGACCAAATTCATATATTATCTTTAATTGAAGAGGCTTCTTAATAATTTATCATTTTTAAACTTATACTTTAAATTTATTGATTAATTTAAATAAACTACTTGTTTTTTAAATTTAGTCATTGAATTTGAATCAATTATTACAACTAAGTAGTTGGCACCAAAAAAGGCTAAGAAGAGGGCTACATTTGGCCAGTTTGTCATTTTTAAGCTTGTGGACCATTGGAGATGGCCAAATATATTAGACAAAGAAATAACAAGTTTGAGCAAGTGACCATTTACCACAGTAATAAAAATATGTTGTGCTCTTACATGATAACATGAGGTTCGAATCATGTCAATGACATATATAACCTTTACCTTACTAATGTAAAAAAAATAAAAAAATAAAGTTTGAAATTTTAATTTAAAATCAACTGGTGTGGGCCAAGTATTTTACATTTTTCCCTCTTTGTCACCGCAGGTTTTTTTCAATTTCTATGGGTGCTGATTCAATGTAAGAGATCTATCCATGGGAGCTTATATGACATTTAATTTATCCTCTATTTCGAGAGTTCTTATATTCCTTTTGAATTGGTTTGACCCTTGGCTTCTTCCACCCCTTCATCTAGAGGTGCTACTTTCTAGAGAACGTGTCTTTTCAATTTGAATTGAGATCCAAATATTCAGAACATGTTGTGTAGTCTAAAAGCATCTCTAAAGAGGTCAAATCCAAAATATCAAAGTATTTTAAAAAAAATATTTAAATATTTGATGAATTTTTATATAAAACTGTTGTGGTTATGTTAAATGATTAAAAATGATATAATATTAATGTCAAATTATTTTTGTGGTACATGTGATATGTCATTTTCAATGTGATCTTTGTTGTGAAAAAACTATTAATTAAACTCCCGTGGTGAGCCCTATTAACAATTGAGGTCCAAATCTAAAGTTCTGTTAGTCTTCCGTTAGATAAAATCATGTGACTATCATATGTGGATCGGTCAAAATTAAGTTTATTTATTTTGAAAAATAAAAAGACAAAAACATGATTGAATTAAAATAAAAAAAAATGTAAAGATAGAAAAACCCAGTAGTTAGACACTAAATTATACTAATTTCAGTAAACCCTAAATTATACTAAATGTTCATTGAATAAGATGTAATTTGGTTTGAAATGATGAATTTGACACTTCATGTGATAGTTATGTGAGTTTATTTAACAGAAGACTAACGAAAATTTAGATTTCGATCTTAATTGTTAACAAGGCCTACCACGAGGGCTTAATTAAAAACTTTTTCAGCAAGAGGGTTACATCGAAAGTGGTGTGTCATCACATGATCACAAAAATATTTGGACTAATATTAAATTATTTATTTATTTATTATTTGTTTATTTATTTTATTTATTTATAATCTCTCCCACTTTCACTCTCTTTCCTCTCCCTCATTTTCTCCGCCGCTATTCCTCCCTCATCTCAACTTCACTGGATCTTCGAGAGCAACACCGTCGTCAGTGTTGGCATGGCCACCGTCAACATCTCCACCCACAACTTCGAGGCCGGCGCCTCCATTCTCCACCCCAGGAACTTGCACGCTTTTGAACTACACCAAGCTCCTCAACTTCGCCGTCAAAAGCCCCTCCTCCTCCTCTTCTGCACTTCAAATCAAAGCTTCCCTTTGCTGATAAGATTGTTTTGCTTTCCAATTCACTCGTCATGCTCTTCAGATACGGCTTCTCCCTTGTCAGGATGGACAAGGTTGTTGAGGTATAAAAGTAAATAAATAAAAGGTTTGTTTATTGAGTTTTAACTTAGGGTTTTGTTATTGAATTGGTAAATTTCTTTGTGGTGCAGATAAGATTGTTTGGCATCTTATTAATTTATTGGGTGTTAATTTGGTGAAGTCCTTGCCTATGAGAATCATCAATCCTGCTACTGAAGAAATCATGGTCCTTTTCTCACCCTAAGCATTTCTGTCAATTAAATTAATTTCTGGGTTGTTTTTTAAATTTAATTACTGTTTAATCATTGCATTTGATCGTGTGTAGGATCTAGAAGGAGGAGAGGGATAGTCGTTGGTGCAGTGGTGGTGGTCGGTGTTGAGCGGGAGTGGGAGGGACGGCGGCGGTCCTAGGGACAAGGACTCATTTTGAAAAACTAACGAGGGTGTAGGAAAGTTTCATTAAACATGCACTGTTGCTCTGCATGTTTTGGAAAAGGGCTAGATTTTCAAAGCTATGTTTTGCTGCTTGAGCTTTTAGTCTTTTTTTTCACCCTCAATTTAAAAAAGCTGGTTTTAGAGTGTTTACCAAACACTAAAAAGACCCCAATTTATCTTCATACCTGCATTTTTTTTTTTAATTTCAGCTGTACCAAACTGGTACTAAGAGCCACAGACTTTCTTTAATTACACTATATTTTTGTTGCACCTTACAAGAGTGGTATTTAATCAATCACATAAACATGTACCTAACAAATAATATAGTGCATCCTCTATGGATATGAAAAACTGCAACAAATTTCAATGTTAATCCAGGTGTGCGTAGGAGCGATATGTTTGTAACTACCTCCAGGGTATATGTATGATGGCTCATCAGAAATTTTTGAATGATGGCTTATCAGAAATTGGAAACCAAAATAGCTCCCATAATTGATTAGGGGCTATATCTATGATGGCTTAACAGAAATTTTTATCTATAATAATGCTTTGCACTTCGAAAACTAGCTAGTTATTTCTCATTGATTTTGTTAATATATCTTCTTGTATTTCTTGGGTATTTAATGTTCTTCACAATATTCACTTTACAAAGTTCAAGCTCTAGTCAAGTTTGATTTACTCTTCGTTCTGTTCTAAACGCAGATCTTCTACGGCCCGGGCTCGTACTCGAATATTTCGGTAAGAGCTTTGCTGATATATATGATATCCAATATTGAGCATATACATTTTTTTTTTTTGGTAAATATTGAGCATATATACTTTGATTCAAGGCAACAAGTCAATTTCTTTTCTCATGATGTTTTTTGTGATTTACTCCAATGTTCAGTACTATCTGTCGGGGCAAAATTTCTACTTGGGGCACCATTCGTGACTGCGTTTTTGATCTATACATGGAAAAGAAGACATTTGTCAATGTACAACTCCATAGAAGAATTTTTGCATGGTGAAAAGACTTTAGTGCCAATAAGGTACTCGTACTCGAACATCAAGAAGATGTCTAACAAATTTAAAGAAAAACTTGGTGAAGGAGGGTATGGATCAGTTTTTAAAGCAAGGTTACGGAGTGGACGTTTTGGGGCAATTAAGATGTTGGATAAGCCCAAAGGCAATGGACAAGATTTCATCAGCGAGGTAAATACGATTGGGAGGATTCACCATGTTAATGTGGTTCAGCTTGTTGGTTATTGTGTTGAAGGAACAAAGCATGCTTTGGTATATGACTTCATGCTCAACGGATCTCTTGATAAATACATTTATTGCAAAGAAGGAAGTATCCCATTAAGTTGCAAGACAACGTACGAGATTGCACTTGGAGTGGCCCGAGGGATCAAATATCTACATGAAGGTTGTGACATGCAAATTTTACATTTTGACATCAAGCCTCACAATATTCTTCTTGACGAGAATTTCGTACCAAAGATTTCTGACTTTGGGCTGGCAAAATTATACCCGGTAGATAATAGTATTGTGTCTCTAACAGCAGCAAGGGGTACAATGGGATACATGGCTCCTGAGCTATTCTACAAGAATATTGGCGGTGTTTCGTTTAAAGCGGATGTTTATAGTTTTGGAATGTTGTTGATGGAAATGGCAAGCCGAAGGAAGAATTTGAATGCATTGGCAGAGCATTCAAGCCAACTTTACTTCCCGTCATGGGTTTACAATCAATATAATGAAGGAAAAGACTTCGAGGTGGGAGAAGTTGTGGAGGAGGAAAAACCATTAATAAGAAAAATGATTATAACCGCCTTGTGGTGTATACAATTGAAGCCAAGCGATCGACCATCAATGAAGGAAGTCCTACAGATGCTCGAGGGAGATGTTGAATTGCTTCGAATGCCTCCGGAGCCTCTTCTATATCCACAAGAGATGCCCGTAGGTGCTCCTAATGATAATCCGAATCCATCATATTCCAAGGTGGAGTTAACATCTTCTTTGACGGGTAGGTGAAGACACGCAACTAGCATGGACTCTGTCAGTTTGAATCTCAATGCAATGTTTCTGGTTTTGTAGTCGTACTGTGTGCATGTACATTGAATGTTAAAACTCCCTTTCAGTGATGTTAAATATGTTGTTTAGTACAACATATTTTCATGATTCCAGGGATAAATAACATATTTCATGAAGGACATGTTGTATGATTCATGAAGACGATATTTTCTAATTTTTGTTCCAAGAAATTATTAGTTGTGATGATTGTTCGCTCGTGCTGGTAATTCTGGTTCTCATGGGCTCACGCTGGCTGCTCTTACATAGCTCCGGTTGTTATTTGTCCGTGTAGGGAGGGACCTCCCTAGTCAATATCGAAAACCTTTTTTTTTTTTCTTCTTGTGAGTACAACAATATTTTTACACTAAGGGAGGGCGGTTCGTCTATGCCACACAATGGACAACCTAATTTGGTATCGAATTTTCCATCTACAAGATTCGGACCTAAGACCTCTTACTTACAAGCGAAGAGGAATATACTGAGTGGCAATATTCGAAACCTTTTAGTTTGCCAAGTCATTTCTTAGTTAGAAGTTTTTTAAGAGAGTTGAGGTTCCACCGTAAAACCAATTGGTAACATGAGAGTAGTCTAATTACTTATAAGCACATGTAAGGTCTCTTCTTTCTCCGACGTGGAATTCATTTTCTAAAAAATTTGTCTGAGAATCCCTCCTTTTCTATTTGAAATGCTGCCTGCTCTGTACTGTGCAACCAGTTTATAGCTTTGGTGGAGGACTCAGCCTCATTATAATTTCCTAAGATTCTTGAACGTAATGTCTATCACTCGCTGGAGCATCATTGTGATTGTAAGCCAAATGGAAGATTTGTTGATCACATCCTTGGTGAAGATATTCAATTCCTTTGGCAAATGGCTACATCTTGCAGCTTATCCCACATGCAGTGATCTAATGAACAACAGCTCGTCTAAATCCATAAACGCAGAGCCAACCAAGGGAATAGCATGGTTGATATGACCCATTGTTCCCCCTTTATTTATGAACTCTTCCCGATCTCCCCTTCCAATTGTATAATATCTTGTGGTTCACCGCCTCGTATTTCGGATACATTGAAATATCTCTAATTTCTTAGAACTATTGAGAATCAACAGAAGATAGCTTTCCTTTAAAAACAGTTCCACATATAGGCTCCTAGGCCTAACTTGTCTATGAACTGAATTGTAATCCCCTTACTATCGGGATACGAATACCTGCTCGGTTTGAGAGCCTTGTAATCCTCCAAAAATCTTTCAATTTTTAATCAATTCACTCTCATTTTCTTTTATATCGGAGCAATATACTTGATATGCTGCAACAAGTAGTAATACAACTAATGATTCCAGGGATGCACCTGTAAATTAAACCTGGAGTAAATATTTCCAGGGACACCCGAATCAGAAATTTATTTTGCCTGGTTTTTGAGTTTTTAGGATAAATCACTTTTATTTTCACGTACAAATCTTTCCGTTGCACAAAAACATTCGCTAGAGACCAAGGATCTAGAGTTGGGCCCTTATCCCCACACTTGAATTCTTTGCAGGTATTTTGGGTTTCTCCATGCACTTTGGAGATGAAGAGTAAGATTAAGTAAAAGGAAGAAATGAGAGTTTTCTGCACTTTTGAGGTCATACTATTGCTCATGGATTTGTTTTTGAGATGAACAAACTATCAGTATCTGGATGGATATGCATGTGCCCAATCCAATATCAACATGTCGGAGAAAATTAGTTAAGTTGGTCAAGGCACCGGCACCGTAAGGTTTTGGTTCAATAAAACTGATGTGTAAATTTTAAACACATGATATTATTTTAGGGCACTTTAACGGAAAGTTCCTGATGATACTGTTCACTTTAACAAAAAAACCACATTTTTACACTAAAAAATCAATCATGGTACTATTCACTTTACCCTTTATTTAAAACTTAAAGTTTTCAAACTTTTTTCATTAATTTTCCTATTATTTTATAGGTCAGGCTATCATCACCTTGTCAGTGCTCCCATTCAATATAAGTGGCATCATTAGCTAGAGGGACTCAATGAAACCGATGTTTAGTCCATATGGTGTCACTGTCAAATAATATCTCGCCATGTGTTCAGAAAGTACTCTATCCATCCGATGAGTGACGGACATATGGTGAATGGTGTGTGAGAAAATCTCTCCATTAGCTGAGAGGATTATGGAAAAGAGAAAATTGCATAAACAGTACTTGGACATTTTCACCTTTGTGCATCTAGCGTCCAAACTAATAAAATTACTTGACTACCCATACATTTCGACAATACTAGAAATTGCTATCCGCGTGTTGATGCGGGATAAAGAATTGTAAGAAATATTATGTATGAAAGATATAAAAATTTGCTCATTGTGATAGAAGATTAATAATATTTACATTGAAAACATTAGAAAGATGTTCATGTACCAAAGATTAAATCGATAAAGCTGACGTACAAAAAATCATAGCTCAACGTAATACAACTTTTCATAAAAAATTTGACTAAACCAAAAACCAAACACATGAAAGTCAAACTTTGAGATCCAATTATCTTCCCAAGCTTCAAAATCGAATTCAATCAACTTAATTACACTGACAAATCAATAATATCAAAATCAGCTAGGACCAACTCAAACAACCCAACACCCCCACATCAACACACACAACTAATACAGAATCTATTTGACCTCATAAAAATGAAAGGAAAACTAATGAAAAAGGCTTGAAAACTTTGAGTTTTAATCAAAATGACAAAAATGTGTTGTATGTGAATAGTGTCATGAGTGATTTTTTAAAGTAAAATTGTCATTTTTTCGGGAGTGTTTTGTTAAACTCCCAAAAATGAAATATGCAGAGGAATAGAACATTTTCCAAAGTATAAAATCCAAACGAAATTTCTGACCTCTCCTCCTTGAGCATTTTCAAACACTTCCTTGCAAATTGAATTGGCAACACACCGTTGATGTTGTTGATGTTGATATGTAGCTGTTTATCCAAGGAAAACAAAAAATAAAAACAAATTGAAAGACAGTTATTTAGCGAGAGTCGATAATATCATTTTTGCCTTAAGAGAAGCAACATAGAAATATACAACTAACTAAAAATAAATTTTTACAGAAATATCTCCCAAAATATGTGGAGCTACCTGATTAAGTGGGTTCTTTGGCGTTCCATACTCAGCAGCTAGAAAACCAAAAACATGTCATGCATTGCAGAGAAGGTTAATGGGATAAACGTCAAGTTCATCAATCATATTTGCATGATAGAAGCTGCTGGAATAAATTCAATCATATTCATTATCCAATCTAGAAAATTTAAAATGTAAACATACAAAAGATATACATATATATTATATTTCTGTCTTTGATAAGTGCTTTGCAGACAATCACACTTTTTTTTCTCTTATTTTGAAAGAAGTATATTGTCTGCAATTTTATTAAAGTAAATAAAATAATATAATATTAGAACAATGCCCTTAAACTATGAACATTTAATGTGGAGAAATTGGAAGTTGAAATAAGTCGAATACGACATAAGACAGAGGAGAAAATTCAAAGAATATTGTGATCAAAATCGGAACTCAGTGAGAGTTCAACAGAAAGATCAATGGAAAATGCACTCACACACCAACTTGAAAGAAAACCTAGTGTCAAATCATTGTGTCAGAAATAGAAAAATGCAAACTTTATATGGAAAATGAAGATTTACTTGCAGACTGGCAGCAACAAAAGCAAACGGAATACAACAGGAGTTACTGCAATAGTGAGAGGGAGGAAGAGAGATTAAAGATGAGTGATCAGTTAAAGCTATAATTTTTCAAGCATGTTCTGCAATATGAATCATTTAGCTATCACAATAACATGCTTGAAATAAACAATATGCTTGGAATAAACAATTTTTCAAGCATGATTGAAATAAACAATATGCATAATTGTGGTATTAAAAAAAATGCAATATCACCAACATTCATGATCATTATCCGGAATTGTTAAAGTAAAAAAGAAAATCAAATTAACATCTCTCTAATCTATCTTCCTATTGTATTTTGATAAGGTTTATACCAAACAATGTTTCCACCAAAATTTATTAGCAAAAAGATCACAGTAGAAGTTAACATGAGAGAAAGAGTTGACCTCTACCTCTTATATGTTGATCCTACCAATCCCCGGCATACTTGATCTCTTTTAAGTCCACCTGTAAAAAGAAAAAAAACACAAAATTTGTAACACAATTTGAACAAAAAGAGAGTTCTCAATTAGAGAAAACTTCAATTTCATGTAAAGAAATTGTGTTCTAAATTCAAGGCTTAACTATGCAATATTGGGATTTGTGTTTAGCTCAAATAAGTAAGATGAAATGATAAGGAAGTTTCGTCCGGCTGGAAGACGTTAAAGCAAGCGCTTCTTGGGAGGCAACTCATGTATTCAAATAAGGAAGGTTTTTTAATTGCTCCACAATCAATTTTGCGTTTCTATAAACCTTCCCTTTTCTGTAGTTTTATTTTGCCATGATTGTCATTTTTATTTGTTGCTTGTTTAATTGTTTTTTGTGTGGGTTTATTTTTTTTGAAACACTGACAGTTATGCAAGGTATTTTTACATTCATAAAAAAGAAGGGAACATTAAGCAGATAAATACAAGAGGAAGCCTTCACAAAGGCTACTTAGGAGAAATCTTAGTAGTCGGCGGAGCCTCAGCAGTCGACGGAGCCCCAGAAGAATGAGGCATTGGAGGTTGATCATTTGGAGCTTCATTACGCGGTACAGCCTCAGAAGACGAAGGCAAATGTTGTTGGAACAAACCCATAAACCTCTGATGATCAAGTAAAATCTGACCATCAGATTCCTGCATCTGGTCAATCTTCCTCTTCATGTTTGTAGCATAGTTATGTGCGAGCCTGTGCAACTGTTTATTCTCATGCTTAAGCCCTCTAATCTCCTTCTTGAGACTCATCACTTCAGCCGCCAATGATTCAACTTGACGGGTTCGGGCAAATAGGCGTTGGGCCATATTGGATATGGAACCTGCGCACTGCACACTGAGAGCCAGAGAATCCTTAACAGCCAACTCATTAGACCGTTTGGCAAGTAGTCTGTTATCTTTGGGAGTGACAAGGTTCCTAGCCACCACCGCAGCTGTCATATCATTCTTTATCACTGAATCCTCAACGGTAAGGGGACCAGTAGGGGATATGAAGGATGGGCGCAATATGTTGTCTGGAGAAGGCGGGACTGCCTCTTCACCAAGGTTCAAGTCAAAACGACGGTCGGAGGGACCAGACATTTTCAGAGGTGTTAAAGAAAGAAGAGGTCGGACAAGTCAAGATCGTAGAAGTGCAAGAAGAGAGTTTTTACATGCAAAAATTCAAGTGTGCTTTGAACGTCCTATGTACCTCTATAAAAATCAGCACTCTATGGGATTTCAGAGATCGAAGAGGCGAGCTCAGAAGTCGAAAAGGCAAACTCAAAAATCAAAGAGGCGCTAACTTTCTCAAAAGCTGGGCTTGCTCAGAAACCACGGCCAATCTTCTTTTCCATATTTGTCCGCACTTGTCACATGCAACCTTTGCACTCGACGGGATTTCAGAGATCGAAGAGGCAAGCTCAGAAATCGAAGAGGCATCTGCTTTTTCAGACGTGTCAGCATCTGTCACATGCAGAGTCAGCTTTGCGGAAATCACGGGCAGTTTTTCGAAGCGCTTTTCCAGACATGTCAGCATCTATCACATGCAGAGTCAGCTTTGCGGAAATCACGGGCAGTTTGTCGAAGCATCAATTCCAGATATCGAAGAGGCACTTGTTTTTCCAGACGTGTCAGCACCTGTCACATGCATACTCAGCCTTGTGGAAATTACGGGCAATCTGTCGAAAATCTCTTGTGAAGTAGAAAGCACGTGAAGTTTACTATTAAATCATCCAACGGTTGCTGACAAGAGTGAAAGAATAGTACCGGTTATTAATTCCTATAAATGTCACCCTTCACCCTCCATTGAAAGGCAGACATACATAACCCTTATTCTTCTCCGATAATGCCTTTCCAACAAACCATCTCGAGTCACTCAGTGTTCCTTATTCCTTGGGGTACCTCTGCAAACAACTCATCCAAAACAAAAGTATTTCATATCATGAAGGTTGAAAGCAAGAGTATCTCATATCATGCTTTCTCCCTGTCCTTCTCCTTGTCGTTGTTTTGGGACAAGGAGAAAGAGAGCAATCAGCCAGCACTTGGTATCAATCTTCCGATCTGGAACTGACTGCCTAGAACCCATTCCTGATTGCTTACCTAGCCTTGCTCTCGAGTACTCATCTTCATCATTTTATGCTTCCTCTTCGTCTACCACATCTGCCTGGGGAACAGATAAGGGAAGTGAAAATGATACCTCGAAGCATATGGAGACAATTTGCCAATTCATCCTCAGCTAGGGACAAGGAGAAAGAAAGCAAGAGGTAGGCACTTGGAAAGATTGAATAAAGAAACAGACCAACACCTCTACCTCGTGCCTGCCTGCCGTGCAGAAGAAACAAGCAGAGAAGAATGCAGACTGCACAATCAAATCAACCCAACAGAAGGAGTCTGATTTGAAACCAAGGAACTCTGATATTCCTCGCTCAGAATTCCAAACCAGTTCGAGATCAAAGCTGTGGAAAGTCAACAAGATCATCTATCTCCAAAACCAGATTTGCGTTCTTAAACTCTACTTTGTCTGTTTTTTTTTTACTTTGCTATATTTGTCATGTTTATTCGTTGTTTGTTTATTTGCTTGTTTTTGTGTGAGTTTATGCTTGAAACATTGAGGACAATGTTTGATTTAAGTGTGGGGGGGGGGGGGTAACCATTGTTTTGCATGAAATTCTTTGCATGAAATTTGTAGGAGTTTATCACCCATTACTTCTAGTGTTGTTCCTTGCTGTTTTAAATGTTTTTAAGCTGTTTTGGAGTGTTTTAGTGTGTTTTGACATAAAAATCTGAAAATCTCATAAAAATTTGAAAAATTGTTTTGAAAAACCCAAAAAGAGTTGTTTTTGTATGTTTATTTGTGTCTTAGGATACCTTCCAACACAATGATGAGGATTTGGTTTTTAATTACATGACTGTTAAAGAGTGTTATAAACATGGATGAAAATTTGATTTACTCTTTGGTGTATGCTTGGTTGTGGTTATAATTTATTAATTCACATGCAATCATAAAAGGAAAAATCAGTTTTTTTTGTAACATGCTTGAAAGAAGGAACTCAAACTAACGTTACATCCTTGAGAGACTTGGGCCTAAACATTTATTTGGAGAGTTATTAATCTGTGCAATTTTTTTTGTTTTCTAAAGTCGTTGCATGATCTCATTATTCTTTGCTTGGTTGCTACTTAGAAGGCGTTTCATCATTTAGTTCCAAATGCTAGAACTCATGCCTATTTCATTCAAAGCATGTTATTGATTTGCATAACACATATTCAAGATGAAGTTGTTTAGTGAGCCAAGAGCCAAAAAGCCTATCCCGTTCATTATGTGTTTAAGTTTAACCCTGTTGAGCCTTGTGTTGCCTATGTTCTTTGTTACCCACACTATCCTCACCTAGCCTAGATTAGGACCATCCATACCCTTGTTCTTGAAGCATAGTAAAGCATAATTTAGAAGGAATTCATTTTGTTGAACTCTTGCAGAAAAACAAGTGTGGGGGAAGTGATTCTTGTGTGTGTGTGTGTCAAAGTCCTTCATAAGGCACATGTAGAAAAGGAAAAGGAAAAGAAAAAGAAAAAATCGTGGAAAATAGAATGAAAATAAGAAAAGTTGTGAAAGAGTTGAAAATTTTATGAGAAAGAACTCTAAAGTGTTGTTTGTTGAAGAAATGGTCCAAAGCAATGAATTCGACCCTAAGTGTTGCATGAATCTTCCCTTTGTGTTTAAATGTTGATTTTTGCATTCTAAAGTAAATTCCAAGTGTCGATTCCATTACTTTGCTTGTTATCGCTTTAAGAACGTTTGTTATTCCTATCCTTTCTTTGTTAGCCATTACCCCCAAGCCCTATTACAACCCTTGACTTCAATCTTGAGTGTTGTGTGTTTCAGTTTGTGGAGTTTGAAATTGATATGAGCATATGGTGTCACTGGTTCTCGCATCTAAGTAGTAGCATTCCATTCATGAGATCATATATATACATGAATTAATAATTCCAGAAATTGCTTCTTTGTTGAAAAACATATGTGAGTACTAATTTTCATGTTTACATCAATCTTCTCACTATACCTAGTATAGGGAGTGTAGTCAGAAATTCTTGTGTGAAAATAAGAGTGTATCTAGTAAGGAATTGAGGAAATTCTCTAAGGCATGTTACTATATTCAAAATGCTGTTTTAATTAATTAAATGTGAGTTAGTGAATGGTGACTATGATTAAGTATGCTCGAGGGTAAGGAATGCTTAATTCTATGTAAGTGGTGATCTTTGGCATGTCATGTTTCATTGAAAATCCCTTAGGCAAATGTTGGAAGGTTAGGTTATGTTTTGTTTGTTTTGTTTCGTTTTGTTTCTTTTGTTTTGCTCGAGGACTAGCAAAAGCTAAGTGTGGGGGAATTTTATAGGAGCATATTTATGCAACTTAGTTAGCTTGTTCTTGTGCATTTGTGTTGTTATTTCTTAGTTAATTATGTATTTTAAGCTATTTTCGTGTGTTTGTAGGTCATAATATCAAAGTTGACAAGAAAGTGCATTTTGGAGCATTTTAGAGTATTTTTGAGCCAAGATTGGATAGTGCAAGCATGGAGACATGAGGATGGACGTTTTTTGAAGATTTGAAAGCTAGAAATTAGCATGTGTGTGTGCAAGTGTGTTGACCTACAACTCTAAACATCCACCCACTACACCCATTACATCCACTCATTACCAAACACTCATCCAATACACCCATTACATCCACTCATTACCAAACATCCACTCACTACACCCATTACATCCACTCATTACCAAACACTCATCCATTACACCCATTACATCCACTCATTACAACTTCATACACTCATCTCCCTAGCCTATAAATACATCCACCCTTCACCATAATTTGGAAGAGCCTTCATCCAAACACATCCATTTATCTTCACATTCATTCCTCCATACAAACAAACCTTCAAACACTCATCAACACCTTGTGCCGTAGCAAAGGAAGGGAAGGAAAGTGCTTGGACGTGCTTGCTGTCCAACTTGGATTTTTGGAGCGTTTAGGTGTTTTCTTTCTTTTGTTTTTAATGTTTAAATTCATTTCCTTTCGTTTTGTTGTAAATATGAGTGGCTAAACCCCTTTTGGCTAGGGGTGA